CTTAGTCTACAATCGCCTGAGCTCCTCCCTCACTGACAACAACCTTCTCGACCCTTTACAGTCTGGCTTTCGCCCCCTAAACTCCACCGAAACTGCCCTACTAAAACTCTCTAATGACCTACTAACTGCAAAAACCAATGGCCACTATTCAATAGTCCTACTACTCGACCTCTCCGCGGCACGGTTGACATGGTTGACCATCCCCTCCTCCTCAAAAAACTCCACTCTCTTGGCCTCAGAGACTCCGCTCTCTCCTAGTTCTCCTCCAATTTATTGCAGAGCTCCTTCAGTGTTACCTATAATGCTGCCACCTTTTCTTCACTCCCTCTCTCTGTAGGGTCCTTCAAGGTTCTGTCCTTGGACCCCTTCTCTTCTCCATCTACATCTTCTCCCATGGTCACTTGATAAACTCCCATGGCTTCAATTACCATCTCTATGCTGAAGACATGCAAATCTGTCTACCACTCATCTCACCCCTTCAGTCTCCACTCGCATTACTAACCTACTAAGTGACATGTCGGCATGGATGTCACTCCACTGCCTCAAACTCAACCTTTCCAAAACGGAGCTCTTAGTATTCACCCCAGCCCGTGCCACCTCCACTGACCTTACCATAAATATCGGTAACACAATCATCAGTCCATCCCCTCATGCCCCAGATCCAATCGCTGACAAAATCATGTAGACTACACGTCCGCAACATCTCCAAGATACGACCGTTCCTAACCCCGGAAACCACTAAGCAACTTATTCACTCCTTTGTTCTATCACACCTCGACTATTGTAACTCCCTCCTCATTGGCCGACCTCATCGCAGGCTATCCCCACTCCAGTCTATCATGAACGCTGCTGCCAGACTCATCCACCTTACTAACCATTCTGTATCTGCCACCCCTCTCTGCCAATCCCTCCACTGGCTCCCAATTGCCCAACAGATAAAATTCAAAACACTAATACTGACATATAAAGCCATCCACAACACTGCCCCAATTTACATATCCGATCTTATCTCTAAATATCACCCAAACTGTACACTCCACTCCTCGCAAGACCTCCTACTCTCTAGCTCCCTTATCTCCTCCTCCCATGCTCATCTCCAAGACTTCTCCAGGGCGTCACCCATCCTCTGGAACTCCCTACCCCAATCTATCAGACTATCACCTACTCTACTTACCTTTAGGCGATCATTGAAAACATATCTCTTCAGGGATGCCTATCCCGCCCTCTGATAATTCTGGAATCCTCTACTCTTCCAACCAGTCCATCCCCCACAGTTACTACCTACTGTACCATTCACTCCTCCCTCCTAGATTGTAAGCTCCAAGGAGCAGGGCCCTTAAATCCCTCTTGTATTGAACTGTATTGTTACTGTATTGTCTCCCACTATAATGTAAAGCGTTAAGCAAACCGTTGGCGCCATATAAATCCTGTATAATAATAAAAATAATATCAGAACACAATTCAAACATCAGACCAACAGCAGGAAGTCTGCTAACTGAATGTGTTTTTCCCTTCAGTTTTGTCTTCAGCAAGTGAAATGCTCAATCGGATTCAGGTCAGGTGATTGACTTGGCCATTGCATAACATTCCACTTCTTTCCCTTAAAAAACTCTTTGGTTGCTTTTGCAGTATGCTTTGGGTCATTGTCCATCTGCACTGTGAAGCGTCCAATGAGTTGTGAAGCATTTGGCTGAATATGAGCAGATAATATTGCCTGAAACACTTCACAATTCATCCGGCTGCTTTTGTCAGCAGTCACATCATCAATAAATACAAGAGAAGCAGTTCCATTGGCAGCCATACATGCCCACGCCATGACACTACCACCACCATGCTTCACTGATGAGGTGGTATGCTTAGGATCATGAGCAGTTCCTTTCCTTCTCCATCCTCTTCTCTTCCCATCACTCTGGTACAAGTTGATGTCGGTCTCATCTGTCCATAGGATGTTGTTCCAGAACTGTGAAGGCTTTTTTAGATGTCGTTTGGCAAACTCTAATCTGGCCTTCCTGTTTTTGAGGCTCACCAATGGTTTCCATCTTGTGGTGAACCCTCTGTATTCACTCTGGTGAAGTCTTCTCTTGATTGGTGACTTTGACACACATACACCTACCTCCTGGAGAGTGTTCTTGATCCGGCCAACTGTTGTGAAGGGTGTTTTCTTCACCAGGGAAAGAATTCTTCGGTCATCCACCACAGTTGTTTTCCGTGGTCTTCCGGGTCTTTTGGTGTTGCTGAGCTCACCGGTGCGTTCCTTCTTTTTAAGAATGTTTCAGACAGTTGTTTCGGCCACGCCTAATGTTTTTGCTATCTCTCTGATGGGTTTGTTTTGTTTTTTCAGCCTAATGATGGCTTTCTTCACTGATAGTGACAGCTCTTTGGATCTCATCTTGAGAGTTGACAGCAACAGATTCCAAATGCAAATAGCACACTTTAAATTAAATCTGGACCTTTTATCTGCTCAATGTAATTGGGATAATGAAGGAATAACACACACCTGGCCATGGAACAGCTGAGAAGCCAATTGTCCCATTACTTTTGGTCCCTTAACAAGTGGGAGGCACATATGCAAACTGTTGTAAAACCTACACCGTTCACCTGATTTGGATGTAAATACCCTCACATTAAAGCTGACAGTCTGCAGTTAAAGCACATCTTGTTTGTTTCATTTCAAATCCATTGTGGTGGTGTATAGAGCCAAAAATGTTAGAATTGTGTCGATGTCCCAAAATTTATGGACCTGACTGTATAAAGTGATAAGTGATGGGCTATTGGTGCTTAATAATATTTGATAAGTGTCCTCATATCATGATAAAATAGTCCCAATAAGCCGTGCAAAGGTGGTTGACTCCGTGCTGAAAGGTGTCAAATATTATGCACTCACCAGAAAGCGCATAATATGCGCATTTGAGTTGTCAGACCACTCCTGGTCCTAGAAAGCTGAACCTGTGTGGATCATCTCGCAAGCTGTCACTCTGATGGGGATAAACTTTTCCTTGGCCAGCAGGGGGATTCCAGACATCCAGAGACCCTTTATAGCACTGATCCAGATTCCTCACCCAGGGCACTCATATGAGGTATCCACCTTAAGAGAGGGGGGGGGCTTGACCAAAAAAAGCCCACCCCAAGAAACACGGATAGTGTAGTACGTTTCAAAAAGAGATCCTTTATTGCAGAGTAAAAACAGACAGGTCACTCACAGGGTTTCCCAGATTCAAAAATGGCTGCCGGCCTCCACGAGGTACGGAACGGCGTGACGTCACCGGCTAGCCTCCACTCTGACGCGTTTCAAAGGGAGCGAGCACTAGCCGGACAAATTCTTATATACTGTTTCCCGCGCATGCGCAAGCCGGTGACGCCATTTTTGGCCCGCTCGCGCATGCGCAAAGCATACGATAGCGGCCATTTTCTTGGTTATCGCGGCTCAGGGAAGGCGATCATTGTGCACTTAGGTGAAACCATCTCACCTGCACTGCTGTATAGAGGGCCAGTATACAGGAGGCGGAAAGCCATTCATATTACAATGTATACTGGCCATAAGAAATATTGTGTATATCATTAGACTATCCCTGACTTCCTTATAATGGAATTTAATACAGGTGTAGTCAAATTTACTTGATGAAGGCCAATTACATGACATTTATTGCACTTGCCTATAAATATATTTAAATGTAATAAGGTAATAGCCAGTCATCAAAAAAATGATGTAATGCAATCTGTCATTAGCATTCCCAGAGTTCCCTCTGCAACATAGTTGTATCAGCTGTTGGTCCTGTCTGTAGATCTGTTATTTTCCCACCTTCTGTAACAGGGTGACAACCCTGATCATTCTGCAGGAACATTACACAGCAGTGTTGTCACCCTGTACAGGGTAGTCTTAGATAGATTACACAGGTCTGCAAAAACATTTTTTTCAAGAGTTGTTTTGGTTATTCCATGTAATCTTTATGTTTTTTGGTGAGCTGAATCCAAAAATGACCTCCATTTTGTCATAGGACATCACGTTTCCTGACAATTTAGGTAAATATATTAAAAAAGGCAATACCTCAAAATAGATCTTTGGTAGTGCCTAAAACTTTCTGTACAAACTATCGTTAAATGCAATCCTCCTTCTTTGTGAGGAATCCATCATGGTATTGACAAACTCTTGATCATCTAAATAAGCCTTCTAATGTCTGGATCCGACGAACACCAACCTTCCTTCAATTTTGCCCCTGACAGGCCTGGAAAGGTTGGTGACCATTGGAATTTGAAAGCATTCTCCATATCGTGGAAGTGATTTTACGAAATGTGCTTCATCAATTCCCAATTTATCGTGGAGAGGTGGGTTAGAAGAATTTTATCGGGAAGGTACCAAAGTTTACCCTACGGCTGTCACCTCGTCTTGGGTCCAGTTATTTGGTCAGTCTCGGGCTCTGTCACCATAGACACAGGAAAACAAGGGTAGGTGGTATCCCAACCATGGGATTGTTTCAGGAACGGGAGACCCCTTCTATCCTTTTAGAAGCACTGACTCTAGGGCTGAGGCGTTACCCTCAGTAGTCCCACACATGTCACTCAGAGTCAGCACATGTATTCACCATCCTTTGCATGGAGGGAAGGGGCAGAGATTGTTTACCTGCACATTATTGAATTATTATACAGTATTTCTATTACAGTGCCTATAGTTTGGCTCAGCGCTTTTACATTACAAAGGGGAACAGAACATGTGACAGAACAATACCAAATACAATGCAAAACATGAGGGGATTTGAGGGCCCTGCTCTGTTTTGAGAATACATCCTAGGACGGGATGGGGATGGGTGGCACAGGAGGAGGATAGCTGTGGTGGATATGGAGTGGTAGGAAGAAGTGGAGGAGGTCGTCAAGTTAAGCAGGGTGGTGGTGTAAGGGCTTCCATGAAGAGATGGGGTTTTCGGGGTGCGCTTAAAGGAGAGTAGAGTAGGTGATAATCTGATGGAATTGGGGGCAGGGAGTGCCAAGAGGATGGGTGACAACCCTGGAGAAGTCCTGGAGGCTGGTGTGGGAGAGAAGGAGACCAGGGAACTAGAGAGGAGAGGGGGAGGGTGTTTTCACTTGTGAGGGAGAGGGGTTTCTTGGGGGGGAGTCGTGCGTTGCTGGCCGGTAGGTTGATGGATAATTAGGTTTCAGTGGGGGAGGTCGGGGAGTATGCGTGGACAGCTTTGTAGAGTGTCAGTGTTAGGATGTTGAATTTGATCCGTTGCGCAATTGGAAGGCCAGTGGAGGGATTGGCAGAGAGGGGTGGAGTGAATGGACGAGTGATTGGAGGCCAGTGGAGGAGGGGCAGAGGGGGGTGGAGAGGGGGGGGGTGGGGTAGGGTGGGATGGAGTCCTGGCAGCCTATTCAGGCGACTCGACTGATCGTGGCGGGTAGCCTGTGACGAGGCAGGCCAGTGACTGGAGCGGGTTGCAGTTAGTCGAGTCGTGATATGATGAGGGAGTGGCGATGAGCTGTTTAGTGGTTTTCCTGGAGTTAGGAACGTGCAGTATATTTGGCGGGGATGGTTGCGGGGGTGGGGGCGGCACGAGTTTGTTTAAAAGATGGGACGTGGGCGCTGGCACGTGGGATAGGTTGGAGTCCCCAAGATGACACCAGTACTTGGACCTCATGGCGGTTCGGGGTTTGATGGTTGGCGTTGTGCGAAGGTGATGGAGAAGGGGCATTCGGTGGGGGTGGTGTCGAGGGCTGGGGGGATAGACAAGAAACCGGTTGGGCGTTTTGGGAGGAGAGTTGCAGGTTGAAGGGAAGGAGCGACATCCAGTATGATATGTCGCTCAGTAGGTGTGGGGATTCGGGCAACGATGACCGTGGAGCTGGAGGGGGGGTTGAGAGATAGATTTGTGTCCGTCGCATGGGAGGTGGGAGTTGAAGCGCGTGAGAGTGGTTGTAGGAGTTGGCCAAGGGAGGAAGGTGTTAGATAGGAGAGCGGGAGAGGGGCCCAAGGACAGAGCCTTGAGGGACCCCAAAGAGCGGGGGAGTGGGGGGGAGGGTGGTAGCATTAAGGTAACGCTGTGGAACAGAGCGTGTGAGATAGGTAGAATGAGAGCCAGGAGAGAGAAGAATCTTTGGGCTGGGGAGTGGGGAAGGGGGGTGGAGGGTAGCAGTTGGGCGGGGTGTGTCGAAGGGCCCAGAGAAGGGCAAGGAGTAGGAGCACTTTAAAAAGTGGGCCCTTAGCTTTGGCGGTTACAGGGCGTTTAGAGTTTTGAGTAAGGGGAGTTTCGGGGGAGTGGGAGGGACGAAGTCGGGCTTTTTAGGGGATCGAGGAGGGTTTTTTTTTGTTAGGTAGGCTTAGGCGGGTGTTGACTAGGCGGGTCGGGGAGTTTTTTGAAAGAAAAGGGAAACAGGGGGAAAGGGTCTTTAAGTTTTCGGGGTCATTGGGGGCCGGGAGGGGTTTTTTAAGTATGGGGGGGATGGGTGCATTTTCAGAGGGGAGGGGAAAATGGGCCCGGGGGAGAGGGAGAGATTGAAGATTTGGGGAGGGAGCGTAGGAAAGGAGGGGGGGGAGACTAGGAGTTTTTGGGGGATAGGGTCGGGGGGCAGGTGGTTGAGGGGGCATCAAAGGATCTTGGGGACTTCCCAAGGGATAAGATCAAAGGGGCAGAGTGTTGGGGGATTTTAGTTTTGAAAGGGAAAAGTAGGTGGGGTGGAAAGGGGGGGCATGCGTTGTGGGGGCCCTGGGAGAGGGGGGGATAGGGGGAAAGCTGGGGGGGGGGGGGGGGGGGGGGGGGTTGGGGGGGGGGGGAAAAATTTGGGGCACGACGAAGTCCCCCCGGGTTTTTTCGAGGGGGGGGGGGGATTTGGGGGATCGGTGGGGGGGGACAGATTGAGAGGGCGGGAGTTGCCCGCGATTTTCCTTTGCGAATTTTGGGGGCAAACTTGTTTTTGAAATGAAATTTGGGAAACTCAAAAGGGGATGAATGAGTGCTGGGTTTGGGGTTGGGGGGGGGGGAAGTAGAGGTTGAAGGGAAGAAGAAATCGGCGAGGAAATTGGGGGAAAAGGGCCTTGATGAGGGTCCGGGAAATAGGGGTTTTTTTGGGTGTTGGAGGGAGGGGGTAAAGGTGGAAAAGGGAGATTTTTTAGCGGGTGAAGGCTTGTTTGGGAATTTGTTTTTCA